AGGGTGATGCGGAGGAGACAAATTGTTGAATAAATTCATTATTTTTGTTTTCTTTTGCGCACAAAAAGTATTCTTGTAGCTAGGGCTGGGTATCAAGTTCCGATACTTTTTAGGCACCGACCGAACTGCCTCGATACCATCGAGTATCGAAAAACGTCTCGTCGTCCGGTACCAAATTTCGATACCTAAGGGGTTAATCTCATCAGCGTCAGTGAGCCAATAAGCCTGCAGCACTAGCCGTTGTGTTCGACCAGAAGAGATGCGGCGCAGATCGATCATCCGCGAGAGCGATTCGAAAGATGATTTCATAAAATTGGTATCGAAAAAAGTATCATTCAGGAACCGGTATCGAAGTCAAGGTATCGGTATCGAAAAATTTTTAACAATACCCAGCCCTACTCGTAGCTTTGTAAAATTACGGTTGAACCCCAATCTCCTTGCTACGTTTCTGAGCCTTGATCATGGTAATTACATTGCTGTCTATGGGAGGGTCAGAGAGCTCTCAGAATTCATCAAAAATATCTTAATTTGTGTTCTGAAGATGAATGATGGTCTTATGGGTTTGGAACGACATGACGGTGAGTAATTAATGACAGAATTTTCATTTCTGTCATCATTTACACACTCTCAATTTGTTCTAAACCTGTAGATATTTTAAAGAACATTAGTAACAAAACAGTTGATGGTAGCTGTTCACTTCCATAGTATGAGAAAAATACTATGGAAGTCAATGGTTACCGTCAACTTTTTGGTTATCAGCATTCTTCAAAAAAATGTTCTTTTGGGTTCAACAGAAGACAACTTTTTTTCTTTTTGGGTGAACTTTAAATCTGCACATTGTTTAAAGCAGTGGTTCTCAACTGGTTTGGCTTTGGGACCCATGTTTTCCCATGGTCATCAAGCCGCGACCCACTTACCATATATATACATATAATTTGTTAAAAAACAAAAACGAAGCAAACTTATTTCACAAAAATTACGTTAAGACTGTAAAGAATATGATTAATACTGAATAAACAGCCTATAAGGTAAGGCTATTAAATAGCAGTCCCAAACTAGTTTTTGTTAATACAATTAAGTTGGTTTGAGCCACCACAGTCATTTAAACATATACAAAATGACACAAAGTGAAAATAACATGGTATTTTTGGGTTATGGAAACAACAGAGTTACCATGGTGAATATATAATACTAACATGAACTGTTAATGAAATGTGGAAACTGCTCCTGAATAGAATGAATATCATACCTTCATGCAAATCCTTCACAGCTAACACACGCAGTACCAGTTATGTGACTTATCGGTACTGTACTTTTATTTCACGCTTTGCATGCTCGTAGTTTCTGCGCTTTAGTGAAGTGATATACAGTGTGGCGCCACGTTCGCGCGTGCTATAGAAGAGTGTGCGCTAAGAGCACGGTATAACATCTGGCAGGACAGGATAGTTCGTTTTTCTGAGATGAGAGACTTTTTATTTCATAAGTTATGAAAATAACGATAGAATAATGACACTGACATTAAGCCTGTCAACATCTCATCTGACCGCAGATACTGAATCGGGACAGCAAGCTTTTCACAGGCACTCTTTACTTAAACTGCATCTGACAGAACTGTCAACAGCTTTCATGCATGTCTTTTAAAACAAATGTCTCGCATCAGAAAAACATTAAAGGGGTCATATGATGCAATTTAAATTTTTCCTTTCTCTTTGGAGTGTTACAAGCTCTTGGTGCATAAAGAAGATCTGTAAAGTTTCAAAGACTAAAGTCTCAAATCCAAAGAGATATTCTTTATAAAAGTTAAGAGTCAACCACGCCTACCTAAAACGGCTCGTTCTACGTCACGATGTGGAAAGATTTGCATAACACCGCCCAAATGTTCACGCAAAGAAAGAAGGCGTAACTTTTATTCTCGCTGTAGTATTGTTGCTGCCGCCACCACCATGTCATGAAGGCACTGTGTGTTTCGTTGTGAAAGCGAAACTACTTTGTTTGGTCTTCCAAAAGAGGACGATATCTGCTTCGTCATGCCTGGAGCTGATCCGTGCTGGTCGCTGAGGAAATACAACAACTTCGCGCTGTCGATCGCCGGATCGGCTTTCACCGTGGATGAAGCGGAGTCCAGCCCGGGGTCGTCACATGTGGTTGCCACAAGCTCGCCCGCCGCCGCTCACTCAAGCTGGCCTCCGCTCACACTCTAGGCCTCCGACCTCCGCTCAGTCTAGCCCGCCATGTGTGACGCTGTGTTTCGTTGTGAAAACGAAACTACTTTGTTTGGCCTTCCAAAAGAGGACACGACTAGAAATCAGTGGTTAAGTTGTATTTACAACACTGTTCCAGAACACTTCAACCCAAATATTCAGATGTGTATATTTTTCATCTGTAAATGTTAGAAAGTCATGCAAACATATCCATTTTGCTGTCAGGAGTGGGCGAGGCACGCGTGACGCGAGAGCAACGAGCGCATGCACACTAAACAGACAGAGCGCAATCGAATAGGAGCGCAATAATTCCGAGTAAACTCTACATTTTGCTAAAAAATCTGTTTTGTAGAATTTTAAACCTACATATAAAGTGCATTTTTATGATAGCAGTAACTGTAAGTGGACTACTGTAATAGGTAGGCTAAATCAATTGTAAGCTAGTAGGCTACAGTAGGCCTACTATAATTACTATGCTCAAATGACTTAATGTGTGTTTCTGTTATAGCAGTTAAAATAGTCATTTTCTTTAGTATTTATTTTCATTTTTAATTCAGTGATTTTAACTTTTAATTTAGTTATTTTAATGCTTTAAAGAGCAATTTTAGATTGTAATGTTCTAATGTTCTGCTATCTGTTCTGCAAACTATAAAAGGTACAGCTTTAATAAAACCATAGAGAAAGGCTGCATGGCTAGAAACTGTAAAAAAAAAAATAATAATAATAAAAAAAAAGTCAAATAATAGTATGTGAGACAGTGGTAATATCATTATGTTGCTATTGGTCAGTAGAGGAGCTTAACTTAGCCTGACAGTTAGCCTGCTTTAGACAAGGTTAGTTTCCCAGCATAAGTTGCCACAGTGACTAAGCTTGATCTAGGCCTATGTTAAATTTGCTTTATGGAACCAAATCATTTGACAATGAGTCAGACTAACTGAAATAAGCCTGGCTTATTTGGTTAACTTGTTTTATGAAACAGGCCTCGAGGCATTAA